GCACTCAAATATTTACGAAAACGAAAAGCAATGGGCAAAACAGGTTGATACCTGAAGTAGAAAGAGCTTATTAAATACGAATTAGATACAGCCGCAACAAGTCCTTTGAGCAAGCGAGTCACAAAAAGCCACATTCCGAGCAAAAAGCAGCAACCTTTGACCACAACCCTTTCCTCCTGCCTCCTCTCCTGGATGCGGGCAGCGTTGGCCTCTTTGGAGCTATCAGCTCGCGGGCGAGCTGCTTCCCTGCTGCAAATCCTGCTACAAAACCTGGATACAGTCCCCGCTGCTCTTTTAAATATATTTTTCATATTTAAGCAGCTGTAGCTGTCGTGCCACTTGAATAAGGATTAAATAATGGTAGCGAGGGAAAAAAAATCTCCCTGTATATGTGCAGACTATCAACAGTTGTATTTAAGCACAGCAGCAGTGTAGCAATTGCTCTCTGAAAGCCCCCCTTCAGTTTATATTAATYTGGTTTAAATATTTGCTTTGTAAATTGACTCCTTCATGCTCACGATGTGGTTGTGAAAGAAGAGTGACTGTTTTCCTGCTTTACAGGAGGGTCAAGAGATGTGGGCACCCTTGGGGTATCGCGGTAGCCAAGCCCTGCATCCCAACACCTATGCTGGACCCTACCTATCCCAAACACTTGCCCAAACCCATGGGAAGGGCCCAGTCCTGTACCTAAATTCACCAAGAAGGAATCTTCAGCTCCTGCAAAACCCAAATAACTTTAGGGTTAACTTGAGTTGGAAAGAATATCACCCCCTGTTACAGCTAGGCACTATTTTTGATGGATTCTGTGCTATAGGGCACTCTCTGCTCAAGCTCTATACCACAAAAATCAAAAAGGTTTGAAGCRTTTTAGGTCACATACGCAGGATTTGGGTGATGCCAGGAGTCAGAGTGCTGGGCACAGTCTTCAYTTCCATCTCTTTGTGTATCTATCCATCGGAACAGAGCCTTGCCTGACCTTTGCTAGACGCTTCCGACTCGAACCGACAGCCCTCACCCACTGCTGTTCTCCGCTTTATTTTCTGTTTCACTRGGCCTACCAATTTGTCGCACCGTCCTTTACTACACAATATTCAAATACTGCTCTGTGGGCAGAATTATTAATTTCTTCAAGTGCTTTTCTCCAGTGCTCATCACTGCAGCTTTTAAGAGCCTCAGAAGCATTAATCACATTCCCTTCCCGCAGCACCCCGTGGTGGTGTTATTACTCTGCTCTTTGGATGAGAAATGAGATGGAGAGATCCAGCTAAAAGGATCTAACACTGGGTGCTCGTTGGGAAAGGCTTTTACTTGCTTTTTTCCTTAGTGTCTTAATCTTTAAGCAGTCCTTTCGACGTCTGAAGCACAGCTCCCACTGACTCCCCTCAGAAGCGGCGATGCTCAATACACCTGCGAGCCCAACCTTCACCTCCAGAGAGGAAGGAGATGCAATTAATGGCCACGTGGAGCAAGTTTGGTTCAAACRACTTAGGAGGCCCAATGGGGAACTCAAAGGCAGCGCCGTGTTTAATTCTGCCCAGTGCCTTAACCACGACCGTGTCCTTTGGCTCCTTGCAAGCCCTGCTCCATCCACCGGACACTTCTGCAACCAGAAGGTCGGTTCCTGTGGACAACCCGCCTGCTGCAGCACCTCGGGCCCYCCGAGCTAAACGAGCCACATTTGCTTTGGGGAAAATACTATGTGATCACATAATTAAAGACTGCACCATAATGCATATACACAAAGGAGGTTAATTAAAGTTGCCAGTGCATTTCTTAACTCCTAATTCCATTCTCTGTAATCACACCAGCTCCATACCCATGGCCATTTGAGTTTACAGAGTAAACGACAGCTGCAGGAAATTTCCATTCTTTAGCGTGGACCAGTCATTAAAGGAGAATAAAACAAATATTTTGCCACGGGCTTTCACARATATTTCCTGACAGCGGAGTTGGGCTGAAAGCTGAGAATTACRGATTCCACTTCGGATTTGGTAAGGAAAGGTACCCTAGCAGAGAAGACCTTTTAGCCCWGAATATTTTCGATGTTGGTCCCAGCTTGCTGCTTCACCAGTTAGGCTGGGCACTCCAGCTCCATCCAGTCTCCTCACTTTTCCAMCCCATTATCCCAGCCGAGCCCCAGCTGCCAGCAACCATCTCTACAGATCCACGTTTCACATGGCCACGACGGGGAGCAGGGAAGCCAATCCAAGCAGTGCAACGTTATCAACCACAAGAAAAAAAGTGAGTCAAATAAAAATGAGGAACCAATAAAAACGCTCTCCAGGCTGAACACTAAGTGACTGTAGCTCTTATACTAGACTGGAAATAAYGGGAACATCTGGCAAAAGCAGCCCAGCATCAAGTGCACCTTTATCAAGAAGAGCAGCAGGAAGGTAGAGCTGTCTGTAAACCTGTCCACAGGAAGGAGATCCCTATGGGGACAGGGTAAGTCTGTCCATATGTTCACAGAGCTCTTAAGTTCCCTTTCTAGCGTCAAAAACACTGCATCAATTATGATTCCCCCCAAACCGTGATCATGTTTTCCAGGAGCTCCTCACCACCGCAGTCTATTCCTAGGCTCAGTGCCTGCAAATGCTCCAGCCTGCAGGTCTCGTGGTTCTCAGAAGCATGAAAGGAGMAGATCTAGTGATGAAAACTGGGGAAAAGAATGAGAAAAAAAAGGAAACTGAGCGAAAAAGACAGCAGTGAGGAAGGAGGCAGAGAGTGACGGGGCTAAAGCAGGTGAAACACACAGTGATGCAAGATGATGGGGCAGGAGGCACAAGGAGAAGACATCTAAGGCAAGAAAGAGCAAAGAAAGCTGGTTTGGAGGGGAAAAAAGATGAAACGGAGCTGCATTGCACAGGACAAATTGGTGAAATGAACAGTGGGAGGGATGGCAAAGCACAAGAAGACACCAACTGAAGAAGGGCAGGAGGATATTGCCCGAGAGGCAACGAGAAGCACGAGATCCAGAGCAACAGCTTAAAAGCCGCAAGAGCTTAAGTCTTAATCTTCTGCTCCCACAATTTCACCGAATTTTGAGCAAAGCGAATGAAAACAGTGACGTGGGCTTGCTCTCGGAGTAGGAGAAGATTAAAAGACACAGCAACAAGGAGGGAAACTCAAGGAAATGGGGTGAACAGCCAGGAGAAAGGACACGCCACAGGAAAAGAGCCAGTATTCATGACCTGTTAGCAGTCAATAAAGAGGTGACCGAGATTTCAAAATGAATAAATAAAAAYAAAAAGCAACCCAGAAGACTCCTGAAACAAATCCCACAGTCTTGGCTCCACCACATGAAAGAAAGGCTGAAGAAAAACAAATTGGACGAGCGCAGACCACGTGATGACGGTGCAAGAAACCTGTATTTATGASCAGGGAACGGACTTGGGAATTTCCTCCCTTTTCCTGGCTCCAAGCAGCAATACAGCCCCATGCACCATATAGTATAGTTCTCACTTATTTAATAGGAAAAGAGCCCTTCATAGTTCCCATAGGGTGAGTGCAAAGCTGCACAGCAAAGCCTATGACACAGGATTCTCCAAAGTGACTAAGGGCTTTGCAAGCTTAGCTGGGATGACTGCTTTTCAGAGCAAACTTCTTCTCAGAGGAGTCTCATTAGCATCAGTGTGACTTGGACAACACACAAACATTATTCCACGCAGGTGGGAYAGATACCTACACTGCTAATATACATCGTAATATAAATTACAAGAAGACACTTGAGTTGAAGTTATTATTATTAACCTGGAACAGAAGCAGTCTGCTATTTTTCAAGGAGCAGATTAGCAATGTCCAGTAGTAAATCAGCTCAATTGTGTAACTGCATTAAATGTAAAGCCTCATCTTTATGATCATCAGTTACGTTAAAGAAAAAAGAAGATGCTCCTCAAACAGGAATCAACATCTCGTCATAGAAATACGTATCTGATGATCGATATATTTTGCTGTATATACACATCCTCATTCAGATTAGCCATGCGTATGGATAGGCATATAACCCGTCAGTTTTAGATAACACACAAATCATAAAACCACTATAACGTATCAACCTCCATTATAAGCTCTTCCCCTTCACAACAGGTATGTCGCACACTGAAATATGAGCGTTGAGCTTGGGAAGCCAAGTGCTCAAAAGTTGGGAAGTTTCAGCATTAGTTGTACAACCCCGCATTASTTCCCACTGTATGTATTTCATAAGGTCTTTAATTGCATAATCCACACATCTGTTTCCTATAGCATCCCTCCCGTAATGAAATTCAGCATATGAAAAACTGTTTAAAAAAAACAATCAAGCAAAAAATCCAAAGCAAACTTAGAATTTCCTAGGAAAATGTTAGATACAAAATAATGACATCATTATCATCATTTTATCATTACGTGAATCAGGCATCTGCATATATATACTCATATTTTTAAGGAAAATTAGGAGGAATTCTTGTCAGTTTGCAACAGGAAATATTTTCTAAGGGATATACACCATAGATAAAGTTTAGAGAGTGCAACGAGATGATGTACAGTTGTCATCTTCCTTTTCTGCCCGTGTGATCCCATTTACGCAAAATCTGCCCTCCAGGACCAGCCTCTGAAAGAAGCAAAAATCCATCCAAGCCTTTCTCTGTATCGTTATTTTTCAGCTGCATTTGCATTCTTAGCTACACCACAGTCTCCAACACGGCTCCAACTTAACACAGCATAATTTACTCCACTATCACTTAGTGAACAACTTTTATTCTCCCTCCCGTTAGCAGGAGCCAACCAAAGAAGGTGCTCTCAGACCTCTGTCTCCAGTGATGTCTAAGGCACCTTTCTTAGGCTAAGGCTGCAACACMAAGAGAATTGTCTTTAAAAGTGAACTCAGCGTACGTGACACACCGCAGCACCGGGACATTCAGCGTAGGAAGAAGATATTCCGCAAGGATGTGCTCCCTACTAAAATGTAAGATGTACAATGAGCTTGAACCACATATAGGGCCACCTTGGCCAGGATTTCTTACATCATTCAGCTGCTTATTGCGGGCCGGGGCGACCGTATCAGTTAGCTGCTTGCTCCCTGCCTTCAAAGCTGCGTCTCTTCTTGCTTGCTCAAGCAGAACTCTTGCTCGTTCTTTAAGTTCCTCCTGTCTTGACAACATTCGTTGCTTAAAAATAAAGAAAACACAATTAACAACAAGGCAGCCCCCGGGCACTTAACRTTTATACAGTAGTTAATAGCCAGGAGCCTTCCTTCATAATCAAGGTTGGGAGCCACGTGGCTTCATGAGGTGACAGAGCCTTCTATAGAAACGAAAAGTAAAGATGATCAAAATATAAAGTCACAGGTCTTTATAATGTAAATGCAGCTCTCTCCCCTCCCCTTAAAACTTAATTTTTATCAACATTTAATGCCTTTAAACTGACACAGTGGAAAAAAAAATAATTGGCTTCATGGAAGGTAGCTATGTTAAATGTGTTTACTTATTTACTTTAATATGTATGCAAATATAACGCTTCGTTGGCTACTTAAATGGGTATCGCTCATTCGAAACTTAAATTGAACACCAAGAGCTTGGATACAAGGCAAAGGGGGGAAAAAAAGCAGTATCTTCTTCTGTTTTGTTTAKGAATATCCACAGGAAAGTCCCTGCTCCACACACACGGCCACGCTGAGCAGAAGTAACGGAGGAGGAGACCTGCRAAGGCAAGGGGAGCTGAGGTGATATTCCAAAGTATCCAAGTACAACTGCCTCCCTAGGGAAGGGCAGCTAAGAAGAGTCTGGAAAACGTGTCCCAGGCCTCTCCACGYTCAGGAACCCGGGCAGGAATCCGCAGGCTCTGCTCCGGCAAGAGCTATGGGGAGAACGGTTGGCTCTGGTTGACCACTGAGGTCAAGCTGGAGGTTCATATCTGAGATTCGATGACTTTGTGCAAAAGCACAGAAGATAAACAAGGCTGAAAGGTCTCTAGAGCCATCTCTTCCTTTTTAGTGGCATCCTACACTCTTGCACATGAAAATCTCATCAGAAAACAGTCTCTATCCCTCCTTATTGCATTATTCGGTGCGGGCCAAACCGTTCCTTTCTCATCCACTGCGCGGAGAAGATGATGAATAAATTCATGAGGCTCCACTGATTAAGGCACAGAAATTAGCTGACCAAGGAACAAATACCTTGTCTACTACCATCTACCTATGGACTGTCTTACAGCAAAAGGAATCCTCACAGTTTAACATTAGGTAAAAAATGTAAAAATGTTTGAACCAATCCACAACACTGAAATACTGCCTACAGATTTCTCTTATCACAGCTAATGGCATGAAGCCAAACAAAACCAAAACTAAAGAAAGTTCTTCAGGGGGATCAGCTTATGAGTCTGGTTTGGCACATTTGTAAGCAGGGCTGATAACATTTTCTACATATTTTTGTGATGATACTATTTGCTGATAACGTTCAGCATTTCTACAATATTCGGCTTTCATCCTCGCCATAAATCTGCAAGTTGGGTGGGCACATATTTTATCTTTGCAGATCGGAAAACTGATCTCACAGTTAAGTAACACGCTCAAGGCTGCTCCGTCAGCAGCCCGACACGGTGGGCAGGAGCTGCTTCCTCATCCTCGTGGGCCGTGCTCCCAAGGGCACGCGGTCTCTCGGGTAAGAGCTGGAAAGTTGAGCAGGATATTTCAAGTCATTCAGAAGATTACCTTTTTTTGAATATGGATCAAGGAATTAAGAACGTTTTTTCATTTCCTGCTTCAGCATGCAATATTCAGGAGAAAGATGCTAGGGATTCCATACTCAGTGGCCAAAGCCCCAAAGTCACCTTATTTTTGCTGCTCGAGAATATAACATCACTACKTACTTGAAATGCAACGGCTCCTTTTTCAGCATCATGTATGAGTCTAAATATTTCTGCTATTACAGCTGTCTGATTTGCCCAGCAATATGTCACCTATTCTGCAGCTGAATCTGCAGATACAGCGTGAATCATAATCGTGGAGAAAGAAAGAACATGAGYGGAAACTCCACGCTGAGCCCAATGCGCACAGGAAGGTTGGGGTTTCTTACCTGGGCCGTTTTTGCACTTTGATCTGCGTGATTCAAAGCTGCTCTGGCGTCGGGGTCAGGATCCGCTTCTCCCTGTCTCAGGGAAGCACGCTTTTTCCTCACCAGATCTGCATCGTTATTATAGGAATACCCCAGCTTAGAAGTAGGAGATAAACTCGGCTTTCTGCCGGGTGAACTGGGGTCTCCCTTGGGGCTCTCAGGGGATCTTGGATGTCCCAGTTTCTCTTGCTCCGAGAAACCACCGGGACTGTCTGAGCTCTGGTGCCTTTTCCCGTCACCATCTTCACAAGCAGCCGTGGGAGACRTGTCCTCCTTGTGATCGCTCACGTGCTGCAGGTCGCTCAAGTCCAAAGTGTCAGCCTTCAGCACCCTCTTCTTGCCCAGCACGGGCTGCGCTTGGCTCGTGTCCACACTGCCACCCTTCCCAACCTCCTCGGAGGCAGAAGTCCTTCCCGAGCTTTGCTGGGATTTGGGCGGATCGGGGTCGCTGCGAGTCCTGCGGGACGAGGGGGAGGCCGTGCTGGGGCTCAGGTGGTCATCGGGGGTCTGGTGCTCGCTCTCGGACTCTCCAACGCCGCTGTCATTCACAAACACGGAGTCGTCCTGAGAAGCGAAGTCGGCCAGGCCGCTGTCGGGCGGCTGCAGCTGCGGCTCCCGCTTCAGGTCGTGCAGCTCCGCGTAGAACTTCTCCTGATCCACGGAGCTGTTGGTGTCCGTCTCGTAGTTGCCCACTTTGTAGGTGCTTTTGCTGCTGTTCTCCTCTATCTGCACCACRTTCAACTCCTGGCCGCAGAAGTGAGCCCGGATTTGGTAGAGATAGGTCATCACGGTCAGCTTGTCCGGGATCGCTAGCAAGACCATGTCCGAAGGCTCCAGCAGCCGCGAGATGCCTAAGCTGGCAAAGCCATCGTATGCCTTTAAACAYAGACAGAAGAAAGGTTACAACACACTAGTTTTTTTACATATTATAAAAGATCAGGAAAAGCCATTGGAATTTTCAGCTAATACAGGGATACACGAACACATCCAACAGCCCCAGGTACCGGTATCGGCTCAAAGTTGTTCCTTTTTATTCTTTAAGTAACTGCCAGTAGTGTGACAGGTACTATCTCTTGTTGCATAACCCAATGCCTCCGAATTCCAAGATTTTTCCTGACGGATTCTACACATATCTCCTAGGAGAGCTTCGTAAGAATACAAATCAAGAGAATATGGCCAGTAAAGACTTGCAAATGGCGCTGCTTTAAGCATTTTTAACTTACTACCATAGTATACCAAAATCTTTTGTTACTCAGAGTGAAGCCAGTATCAAGAGTAAAAAGATGGGCATGAAAGGGCAACCTAAAAATCCTTCCGYTGGCATTAAGAAAACCTACTAATATCTTAAGTGGTTCTCCCTCAGGTAGCAGGAGGCGAGCAAAGGGAAAAGCGTGAGAGTTGGGACCCAAAAAAAGCAACTAAGGATGGGTTTTTAAGATAAGGAACAAAGATATAAGAAACACGACACTAATCCATCTTGGGCTTTATCACTGGTGATCAACCTTCTCCTTTCTACTGGTCATGTAATTGCAGTGATTTGTGTTGACGAAAAAGTAGGTCCAGAYAGCCAAAAAGAGCAACACCTTTGATTACTCGATACCGGGCAAAAATCACACCAATTTACCAAAAAAAGAAAACATTTTTAAAACATCTGTTGGTGCTACATTTAYGGAAAAGGGAGAGTGAATTTAAGTCTCACTTCTCTTTCTAAAAGCTAAGCAGTTTGAAAGCTTCTCAGTATGTGAGGGCACATTGTATTACTTCTGCTAGCTCTTTAAGAGAGTGGGCTTGGTGCATCAGGTTTTTCTAGTTTTGAAGAATTAAAGCTGTTTCTCAATTTACAATTAATTATTACTATCCTGGATTAACCCTGGAAGACAATATTGTGTTTCAAGGAAGCCTTTAAAAAGGCCTCCTGTTAGGTTTAAAGCACTCGGGCATCTCCTCCCCCAGTAATTTTGCATCTCCTTTTTATCCTCCTCTGAAGGATTCCAGAGTTTTATTTAACAGGCATCCCTACAGGATGTGGAACAAAAGCAACAGAGGGATGCTGAATTAAAACACAGAAAAGAACCTGTCTCTTTGCAAGGAAATGATCAACTGCACCACTGTCTTCAAGTCTATCCCAGTTCTACGGCATTTCTGCAATTTATATCATTTCAGAAGAGTGGAAAGAAGAAAAGAAGAATTAATTATGGTTTTGCAWCCTCTTCGTTTTCAAAGCATTACCTTTCATAAGGGTAAATCTTYGATGCTTCGTTAGCATGGGGCCTGGCACGGCATCTTGTGGCACACCAAGTTATTTTAGCAGCTTTAAGAACAGCAGAGTTTCTCCTGCTCCTTACCATGGCCTGGAGTCCTTCCAGGCCCAAACCCTTCCCTTGCAGGCACTTTTCAAACCTACCTTCTCCCTTATTTCTGATGACATAAAATTATCCTCTCCAACTCTGCTCTGCTGCCCCTCTCACTGAGGTATAACCGGTCACAGCATTTTTGGTTAAGCAGTTCTTATATCTATCTAACGTAGGATTTGGAGAGTTTATATATATGCACATATGAAGTATTTTCATTATTTATTTCTAAGCCCTTCTAGCTCTCTGTGTGCAAAATGATCTGGCCTAAAATCTCCAGCTTTATTTTTATTTTGTCGCTGGTCTGTGGTGCAGAAGTCCCTTTTGGAAAGGTCCCATATGRGAGAGTGTCCCGCCAGTTCTGAAGGTGGAGCTGTGCTTGCACAGGGAAGGAGTAACAGGGAAACCACACGGAGTATTTGGTGATGCCCCGCTCCAGAATGAGCCAAAAAGCAGGAAAACGAGGGGCGGGAGGAAGGGAAGGGAATTGCGATGATGAAGATGGATGGATGCCATGGAGCTCCCTTGGGACCCGCGGGAAGAGCGGGATGTGGAGGCAGCAGCCGGGATGGACAGCGGCCCCGGGAGCGGTAGCACGAGCGGCKCCAGCCGCACACGTTCACCTGAACCCTTTCATACCTTTAATGCCTTATTTATATGCTAACAAAGCTAAATCCGAGGCATACATCCCAGGGTCTGCAAAATGAAGGTGGGGACAGTGTTTTAGAGTCATTAGGAGAGGCGCTTGCTTAGAAAGGGCAATACTGAAGCAGAAGAAGTTGATTTGGAGTGATGGCTATTCCTGATACAGCTGGAATTACTTTTTGCTGCCTGCTAAGTTCTTCTGCTGATGTTTGAGATTAAAAGCAGGAGTTTTCCAGGGATGCKGGGTCTTTACTTTCTGCCCGCCCTCCCTCTTGTTGGGGACAAGCTGCATTTTTGCTTCTCTGCTTCTGAAGGACTCACGTCATGTAGGACGGCACGCAAGGGCTTGCAATTGGGTCTGCACCGTTACGCAGTCATTAGGCCTATACGCAGCACGTATATGCTCTGCATACATCCACATATGTAGCAGCTCCTTCTTTGTGGTTTCTTACAAAAACAGCTTGTCTTGAKGTCTCAGAATTATTTACAGATGCCTCGTGTCTGTAACTAGCACAAAGTATTAGCAGAGTTTGATAAGACACAGCGTTCTCCAAATCAAAGATGAATATCTACTGTAAAATACAGCTGCCAGCTTCAAGTCAGGAAGGTATTTCCATTTTTCCTCAGCACTCCCTTTGCAATTTTGAATTTCCCTGTTTAAATGTGTATTTGAAATGGATTCCTTCCTCATGAAATGGAGTATTTGGTTAAGACAATGACTCGAGTACGAAAGCATTGAGGAATTTAATAAAAATAGTCCAAAACAGGGGAAAAAAAGGCAAATGAAAGTGTTAGGAAAATTTAAAGGGCCGATCTAACACCCAGGAGATATATTACTATTTCCAAACAACAACCCCCTGAATCAAAAAACCTTCTCAAAACAAAAACAAAGTGATTAAAAACTGCACAGTGCRACCACAGCCGTGTTGCTGTGCCCTTCCACTCTCAGCCTCTTCATCCCCTTCAAGTTTCAGCCCAATGCAGCTCAGAAACTTGCAGTTCTAACGTGTGGGATGGGTGATTTGAAAATCCCTGCCCTTGATAAGGGACTCTTACTTTCCATACGCTCTAATTTTACTAAGTTATTTGTTATTGTTTATAAGCAATCTATGTAGAAAATAAAAAAAGGGGGGGATGAACGTTATAAAGGAGCTTGTGTGGACAGTTAGAGCTTTCTAAGCGATTTAAGCAGAACCACAGTTCTTCGGAGCAGCTGGAAACGTTCTTTCCTGGGCTGGACCTGTGCAGTGGGAATGCCACGGTGCACATAATTCATGCACATATATGTGTGTATGGGGCACGTGTGGGTTTGCCGACCTGCTGATGAAGCTTGGGTTGAATTTCCCGGCCCGCTGAGTGACAGGCRTCCGTCGCAGCCCGTGGCACGGGCACCCCGGGCGCTGCTCCCACCGTTTGCCCCTCCTGTAAGGCGCTGACGTCCCGGCCAGGATCAGGTGTCGCAGGTGTGCAGTTTAGACACAAACTGCACGAAAGAGCTTTTTTCTTTGTGTTTTCTTCCTTTTTCAAGCAAACGAGGTGAGGCAGCCCTCCTGCACCCTCCCAGAGCCGCCTTTCGCTCCCCGCGCGCCGGCAGTTTCCTAACCGAGAGCGCCCTGATATCTGCCAGGTAACTTTTTAATTAGCAATCTGTTCTTTTCCGTTGGGAAGCATCCTTGTTCCTTAGCCAGCACATCCAAGGAAACTCGAGGCTCAAGCCCACAGTCACAGACAACCTGGGAATTCACCTGGGGAACTGCAGCACCCTGTATTACCATGGAAAAGATATCGCTGTGTGAACCTCCGATTAGATAAGGCCACTTCTAAGACATTGCACTATCTATAGTGCTTAAGCACTGTTTTAATGATGAGTTACTTCCTGGCTAATACTTAAGTATTCAGGCACATTACACTGTAATTACCCTAAACACAAACTAATTTTAACAAAGCACCTTGAGAAATTCCTCGTATCTCCCATCTAACATTCCCTCCTTCCACCAGCTATATAAAGATGACGATAATTAATTTACACAAAATACCTTTTTATACCTATATCCCAATTATTTGAATCCAGCATCGCTAAAGCAGGGTAAAAATAAAATCACAGCATCAGGAAGAAAGSTACTTAAAAGCAATTTTCAGATGGTTATCAGGAATGATTTTTTAATCGTTGCCTACACGACCCCACGTAATTTTTATGTGAAAGTTATCATTTCTAAACGTGTCCCTGGGGCCAAATGCAGCTATATCCCCAAGCTCTCAGTGCATCTAAAACAAGGAGCAGAAATAAGAAGTGTTTTGGTGAGTCCCAAACTGAGTTCATGTCTCTCCAGAGGTAGACAAACACACAGTCCAGAAGAGGCTTAAATCAGCTGCCTGGTGCAATATTAGTGACTATTTTGCTAATATTTTGGGTTATTTTCAACACTTGTCATCGTAAGCGTTTCACATAGTGTAGAAATTCAGGTTTAATACCCTCCAYTTCACTTAGGTGATCATCCAGTGTAGAAGCTGATGTAAAATAYTGCATTTGGGACTGGAGAAATCACCATCAGAGTGACACTGATTGTGCTGACCGCAAGTAGCCCTATCCGGCAACCCAAGACAACCCCAAACGAGCGACATTCTTCAATTTTTCTTTTTTTTATTAAGTGTCTGATTGGAAAAATCAGTCTCCAGCCCTCCCCTCTCTCCCTTTACAGTTAATGTAGGCCACACAAAATATTAAACTCCAGTGCCAGCCTCGTGCTTGTTGTTAAAGACCACGACAAACTCGGGTCAATAACGCATCCGATTGGAGCCACGGGCGGCCGAATGCCTTCTGTGAGTGGCAGTTATGACCTTGCAAAATCACCTCACTTTTCCCCAAATTAATAAAAACCTGCCGGGAAGCCCAAATTGAAGCTATGTTTTCCTCTCTCTCTTTTTTTTTTCTTCCCGTTCCCCCAGCAGTTCTTACCTTTTTGTTGTTCTCTTTAATATCTTGAGGATTCAGGGACTTGTAGTCACTGAGGGGGAAAATGGCACAGTGGGTATGTATAGTATTTGATAAAAGCAGCAGTTTTAAAACAAACCAAATCTAAAAATTTGACATACAATAATATCACGCGGTAACTAGCAATTTCGCCGCAATTCAATCAGCAAAACTRATAGCGTGGAAAATTAAAGGAATAAGCAAATAAATAAATAAATAAACAGCGGCTACATGTTTCATCGCCTGGAGCTTTCCATCTACAAGAGAAGTTAAGGCAGGGAGTAGAGGCCGGCCTTGACAACCAAATTTACCAGGAGGTAATCCCTCCTTGTCAGGGTACAAAGAGCTACGGGCTGATTTCTCTCATCTCATTTCAACACAAGCCCAATTTTCATAATCATCTTGAAGTCGGTTCTTTGTGTAAGATTAAGAAGAAGAAAATCAAATCATATACAGAGGGGAGAAGGGACAGTTGGGGCAGCAAGGGAGAGCAAAGGGGTCAGGATGTCTGAGCGTTCGTAGATCTGTTTCCTTAGACAGGAGAGTTGCTGGGTTAAAAGGAAAGTAAAATAAATACGATTTTTACATAAAAAAAATGATTTTTATGTAAAATGCTGCATTTTTTGGTGAGACTTTTAGCTTAAACACGCAGAAGTTCCACAACTTACATGAGATCTGGTCGGAAGTGATGCAATATTGCGCAGAAGGATAAACCGTTTCTCCACGACGTAGTAAAATTGGTGATTTTCACTCCCCTGTAGTTTTTGGTCACTTCTTTGCACCACACGAGCAGCGACTGACTCGCGTTTGGCTTCCTCCCCAGAATGGGACTCGGTATGGGGCTCGGCTGCAAAAACAGAACCGAAAAAAAGGGAGAAGATGGAAGAATTAAATGGAAGACGAGAATTAACATGAATTGACCTAAGCGGACGAGGTGGAAGCTTTAATGTGAGGACCCACCAGAGGTGCCTCCAAACAAGTCACGGCGTTGGCGAGCTGTATTTCATTAACTTCCCGTTGATTAAYGTCCCGTTGAGCGCAGAGAGAGAATTACAAGGCAATCACACGAGGCAGGGCTGCGAGCCCAGGCCGCGCGTGAAGCGGGCAGGGAGCTCGGCGAGCGGGGCCRGGGCTTTCCAGCAACCTGCACGCATGGCCGTGCACAAAGGTTTTCCCTTCAAAAAACTTCTTAGATGCAATTACATAGACCGAGCTATCAGATGAACGTAAATCCAAACGGCTGAATTACAGAGCAAAAAAACTGAGGCTGTTCATTTTGTCAGCGCAATAGAATTAAAAATGTATATACACCCTCCTATTTATTCGCTTTATGGCTAGAGAGCTCCCAAATTAAGATTAAAAAAAAACCAGTAATTTATTATATCACAGCCACTTAAGTTGAGCGGGCGAATCCTTTTGGCCACGTTGCCAGTGTGTGGAAGACCAAGGATGCCCCCGCTTGACTAAAGCCTGTCAGTGCTCAGCAGCTCAGCGCTGCCTGCCACTGATTTACGGCCTCGCTGCTGGGGGGAAAAACACCAAAAACACCCCCAGGAGCAGGGAAGTCGCTTCTCATTTCCCCTGAGAGTCAGCCCCCAAAGTTGCTTTATAAACACACGCGAGCCTCATCCTCAAAGAGAGGCACTGCCAATTAATTTAGCAGGCACAGATTGAATATGTATTTTAAAATATCTCTAGTGAYGCTGAATTAACAATTAATTGCTTTAATTAGCTGTTAACTAACATCTTAGCCGAGATGCACTAAACAGGGAGAAGAGGTAGTGATACATGGCACACTTTGGGCACTTTGCATCCAGTTTTAATTGGAGTAACATATATTGCTAAGGAGCCCCTGGACAGCTGCTCCCACTGCTGCACCTATGGGTCAGGATTTGCCTTTTTTCACCAAATGAAGTGAAAAAAAATTAACTACCGACCCCAAATTTAAGTTATATTTCTTAAAATATGTTTGATATCCTAACTATATACWTGAAGTGATACAGCTGGGAGAAAATGATGAAATTAGCACTGTTGAGATACCAAAAAACTGAGTTTTGCTAATATTTTAAGTGCAGAGTTACACCTGTCAAACTATACAGTACTACATACTAATTATACTAAATGTCACCTATAAAGGCATTTTTCACTTGTTGCCAAATCTCTACATAGCAATGTTAAACGTTCCGGTCACCATCTAATTCTCTTCAGTTAATTCTGAAGCGACCCTAGGCAATATTACCTTTTAAATGCCTTAATTCATCATGTCTAGCATAAACTGAATACTTAAGTGATTTTAAAACTGGGTTTTATAGAAGCAGTTAAAGGTCAACAGAAGCTTTTCTATCAATGCATTTAGTTGAAATTAGAATTCTATTTCTAAATTATCGATTTATCAAATCCAAAATACAACTCCTGGAAAATCAAACTGTAAATGGAAGGGCCTTTTCCAACTTTGTGCTTCCATCGGCTTCAATTTTTTTAAGTATACCTCAGSCACAACTTTAGCATGTGCACAACAGAACTGCACCATTTCTTTTTAGCTGATAAAGCAGAAATAATACATTGCTTGCTTCCTTTGCTGATCCAGGATTCAAAAYTTTGGGAATGAAAGATAAATTAATAWTAAATTAATAATAATAAAATARTGCTATGCTTTATTCRTCACCCGAGTCCTCAAGAGAGGACAGAGGCTGAGAGGACGGTCTAAGAAGGCACAGGGAGAGAAAGCTGAGATGGAGATGGGGCTTCAAGGCAGCAAGACCTGCAACCGGCCAAGAACCAAGAACTTGCTCCTTGTTCCTCAAGGAGCAAAAGCAACAGCCCCTTCCTTATTTGCCTGAGAGGAATAAAGGGGATTTTCCTTTGCCCTCAGCAAGGCCAAAATGCCATCTAGCTCGCTGAAAACGGTGACCCCGCTGAAGAGCAGGACGAGGTGAATGGAAGTGGCGCACGGTGAGGTGACCCAAACTGCGACACACGGAGCTGCACGACGGAAAAGCCAGGRAAACTCAGCTCAGCTGCCATGTGGCCTGGAAGCTGCCACCGAGGGGCAATGAGGACAAGCCAGCCAAGACACTGCAGTCAAACAGATCATTTGATACCATCAAAACACTACCCCAGATTTGTATTTTTTTAAATACAGGGCTTTACCCAAAAGAACAGCCCAGCTCAGGACTATTCTGAATTTCATGTGGCTCTTTTAATAGCATTTATGTCTTTGGTGGGTCTGTGTGTGTCCAACATGTGTTTATTTTTGATTATTCAGGCCCATGGAACAGTCCAAGAATAAGTCAAAAGCTGTTTTTTCCCTAGTAATCGAACAGAAATAGAATACAGCAAACAAGACTGTCCAAACGGGCTAAAACTACTCTGTGTCTTACTCTGGAGACGGAATAAAACCTCAAGACAACTGAGCCACGAGGACAGATTCTCAACTGAGGCTATTTAGTTTTCAAGTGGCAAGTCACCAGAACATTGCGATGGAGTCAGTGACACAACGAAATACAAGTGACATTGCTCTTTTTTTTTTTTTTTTTTTTAAATTCTGGAATAACTGTTTATCAAAAGAAGCAGCATTTAACAGGTTTCATTTCAGCACAACGAAACAACTCTATGCTCAATTACAACCCTAGAATTTAGACATCTGCCCAATCTCTGGGCTGAGCTGCCCAGGCAGACACGATGCTCTGACGTCTGAACCTGGCAAGATTTGGAAGGCAGGGAGGAAGGGGAATCCTTGGACCTGCCTCGAGTTCAGTGGTGGTGACGCAGGTGAAACAATTTCATTTTTAAGGCTTTTCAGTCGCACATAACGGCCGTCATGAGGTTAGAAAGAACATTTCCAAACTATGCCAGGGAAAAGCACCAACAGCTCACACGTGCTTTCTAAAACAAGAGAATATGGGGTAAAGATAACTTTCTAGATAACACCACCAACAGTCCTGCACGGGCTGGGGAGACGCAGCAGCAACCAGGGCTGCAAGGGCAGCCTGTGTGGTGGCTTTCCCAATCAGATGGCTTTGCAAAAGCCATGCAAGGCACGTGCCTGCAGCCCTGCGGACACGAGTGACACGCTGCGAAGGGAATAATTTCCTTCAAGGTTTATTCCACACAAATTTGCCTCTCAAAGTAGTTGGAGGAGTATTTATTTCTAGTGCTTTCAGCATGTTTGAACAGATGGGGTAATATTTAATTGAATGCTTTGGACCTGTGTGGGACCTTGTGAAGATAATGCATGTGGTCAAGAGGGCCTTCTGCTGGAGTTAGTTTGGTCCACACACCTTTTATTTGTCCAAGCTCTCAAACAGGCTGTTTTTGATTCTAATCATCACTACYAGTTTCTCCTCACACCACCGCAGCCTGCCTCACTGCTCCAAGTAATAAACTGTTGCTCATTATCTCTTCTTGGCCTGATTTTAYAGCGTATGACACAGATTCATTTAAGGTCTGTGATCTAAATGCAGCGCATGAATTTCCCTGGGATCTCTGAGGTGACGGTCATAATACAACATCAGAGTGCTCTGCAATGGATAAATGAGCTCATCAACACAGTAAAGAGACCCACGACTGGTATTTCACAAATAGGGAAACCAAGATGGAATTAAATCATTTTTTCTGAAGCAATAAAGTGAATCAACTGCCATGAGAACTCCAGGACTCGACCGAGTAGGAAGCTGTGTTTGCATTCACAGCATGCCACCAAAGCAGCTGCACCTTCTCTACGCTCCAAAAGCAAGCGAGAGTGCTCAGAATAACCAAAAATCAAGGTTGAGACTCAACCAAATGAAGATCAAGTCAAGACTTGGCCACCCAGAAGACAGGAACACGCAGTCCATAGCCTCACATGCTGCACTCGGCGGCTTGCTCCATGTCACACAGAAATCCGATGTCACGAGTTCTGTCCAGGCTCCTCGCGCCATGTGGAACTCCTGGTGTGCAATGAAAAGACCATTCTCTTCCCCTAAACAACTTTTAACTTTTACGAAAAATAACAGGGCAGTCATACAGACATCTATTTTACTACAGGGTCTGATCAATTCTGCTCTGAGAACTTAGTAGAGAAGGGATCCAGCAAAGAAAACACAATATTTTGCCTTAAATTTATACACACTATGCACACAAAAACAGGAGAGACTACAGTAGCAGACATAAAATTAAACCTGGTAGTTCAAAACTTCTAAGCCCTTAATTTTGCAATTTTTGTAATTACCTGGCAACTTTCTTTTCGCTTTTGCTTTGTCTAGCAAGGAAGTAACTTTTCTTCACCTAGGATTTTCCATGAAGGGTTTGGTTTGGGGTTTTATTTTGTTGTTTGGGATTAAAAGAATTAAAAAAAAAAGGCAATGCAAGCATCATTGAACTGAACTCCAAGCCTTCAGAACCACAAGCCACAACACTTCAGCTCCTGAGATAATTTCCTCACTTGGGCAAGGGGACGCAGAGCCTGCCTGCTCCTGGGAATTCATTAAGCCAAGGAGAGCCTGTTTATTTCAAGCCGAACCACCGTGCCCAGCTCCCTCCCCTGTGGATGCTCCTAACACGGGATCACAGTGCTTGCAGGGGACGCTAGGACAGCTAACTCACCGGGTTGAGAAGCCCTGAATTTAGTTATAATACAGTAAGGGGAAAATTACGGTGCGAGGTGGTGGAGGAGAGGGAAAGCTGAGATAACAGAAAGAATCTGGTCACTGATGTGCCCGTGATTTCACCTTGATGGACAGTGCAGCCAGGAAAATAAAGAAGTCCAGGCAAGCATTGCAGGAGGCTGTGGCTCCTCCACCTTCTCTTCCCGAGGTCCCGCAGCCTTCATCCTTTATCTGGGTCCTTTATCYGGATTCCTTTAGCTGG